AGGGAGACCCTCTCTCCCCGAAGTTATTTTCAGCGGTGCTCGAATCTATTTTCAGACGTCTAAGTTGGGAAACAAAGGGAATACAGGTAGATGGAGAAGTACTGAACAATTTGCGTTTCGCGGACGACATAGTGGTATTCGCAGAAAGCGCTACTCAATTGGAGAATATGGTGTTCGAACTAGTAATGAAAAGTAAAAAGGTGGGATTGTCAATGAACACGATGAAAACCAAGATTTTAACCAACGGACTACCTCAGGATATTAGAATAGCAAATGAAAAAATTGAATATGTAAAGGAATATGTATATTTAGGACAGCTAGTATCATTTGTAAACAATATAGAAAAAGAAATAGAAAGAAGGATAACTCTAGCCGGGAATAAATATTAGGGATTGAGAGAAATAATGCAAAATAAAGATATTAGTATAAATATAAAGAAAAAACTCTACGAAGTAGCGATATTGCCATGCCTGCATATGGCTGCCAGGCGTGGTCACTGAGAAAAGAAGACGAAGAAAAAATTGCTATATGTCAACGTAAAATGGAAAGAAGCATGCTGGGTCTAAAAATATCAGATAAGGTTAACAACGTCCACATCAGGAAAAAAAAATAATAGATGTATGAAAAAAACAAGACTACTGAAATGGCATTGGGCAGGACACATCTGTAGAATGAATGATAACAGATGGACCAAACGTTTAACAGAATGGATACAAAGAGACAGAAAAAGAAAAAAGGGAGACCTAGTAAAAGGTGTAGAGATATTTTTAATCAGAGATGTGGACCCCTATGGATGCGAGTGGCTCGGAAAAGAGATATGTGGAAAGGTTGAGGAGGGAACGCTTTAAGATTGGTCTCAAATTTGAACTTGATATTTAAAAAATTGACGTAAAATTTTCTCTCTTTAAATAAAAATGTCGGTGGCAAAACAGGGCATAAAGTTTTTAATTTAATTACTTAGACTATATTGAAATTGTAAAAGTTTTTATAGAGTATAAAATACTTTAAAATATAAAAAGCAAAAGCCGACTTAAAAAAAAATTAAAAGAATAAAATAATTTACAGTCCGACGTACTTTAATTCTTCTTTAATTAACATAGTATTCCATACAAATATTTGCTTAAAATGTTTATCCAACTCAGGGTCTGGATATAGGTGTATCAGCAAGCATGACTTGCAAGATTTGTGCAATTTACCATCCTTGGTAAGTAGGTAAGTTAGTAAATCTTTTATCCGTAATTTTACTACAAATAACCTGTCTTAGAAGTTTGATCCTGGATATAGCATCATAAGTTTAAAATGACGTAGAAATCCAAAGTCTATAAAATTTAATGTTATTTAACAATTTTATCATAAAAGCAAGTTCATTCGACGTTAATTTAAATTCAATATTTGAAAGCCTGAATGCGAGAGAAGACGAATTAATTTATTGTAAAATATATCTAGGGTTATTAAAACATTTCTATAGTGACTTTTTATGCACTACGTCCGGTTTTTACTACGTCATAATGTCCTAATTAAAAATTTCGCTTTGAAAAATATCTTAAAGAGCACTGAAGTTAGTTGTTTGCTCCTTAATTACACTTCGATTCTTTTTAAGAATTTTTTTAATAATTTGTTCCCTAATTTTAAAGTTCACATTAAAGTCATGTAAAACAAACAAATCTGAAAACTGACGTTAAATTAAAAAATAATTTGTTATTGAAATAAAAAACTAGTGACACAAACTTTTATTATAATGACGTTTATTACTTTGCAACAGACAGTACTGAACTGAATCGATCGGGTGTAACACGTACGTTAATCATATCGTACCGGTGTTAGAATATCTACAACACACACATTATTTATACGTGGTAGAGCCACGCTGCAGCTATATTATGGTTGTAGCGCGAGTGGGTAGGCTCGAACGGGGATGGACCACGCTCTCACAGAGAATACCAGCGTAAAATAGCAGCATAATACTGCCGTATTTCATATGGTAATTGTAGAGATCCGGAAACCCTTTTTTACTAGTAACGAGGCATTCCATCTTAGACTTATGGGTGAAAAGGTATCTGCGTTTTAATTCTTAATCGAGTCTAAATGTCTATAGGCCACAGCATTCACTTACCATCAGGTGGACTGTGTGATCGTTAGTCACCTTTATTTTATAAAAAATATGCGACAGATGGACACAGACCAGGAGATGGGCAGCAATGTATCTCTAATAACAACTATAAAACAAAAACAGCGTTTACCAATGCGCTTGCCAAGCGTGATAACTAATAGCAAATAACCTCCCTTTATGACAATCTATGGGGAGACCTATTTTCATTATTATTTATCTTTATAAAATATACTAGATACCTAAAAGATGTATTACATGTACTATACAGTAATTTATAAAGATTCGCTTGTGGCAGCAGAATCCTAAACATTAAAGAATATCGTTAGCTGCAACAAATCCCGAAAAAATCTACAAAAATACAGTAGAAATTATACAATAAGTTTGTGTTTTGTGGAAATGAGTATAATTAATACTAAATGAACAGGTTAATTACCAGGTATAAACATATAAGCTGCAATTATAAGAAGTGGTAATTTAATCACCGAGCGCTCGTCTTTAATTTCAGTGTTTCTTTAAGAACAAAAATAAAGGTTAAAAATAAAACTGAATTCCTGAGAAAAGAATTATATTTTGATGATTTATATTTTGTTAAGGTGGTCATACTTCTTTTTGAGACTATCAGAAGCTCAAAGTAAAGTAACCAGAAGTGGTATATAGGAGACAGATTCTCGAGTGGTGGTCTCGTGCCGGTAAGCGATATGGTATAAGTGAAAGTTATAAAAATAATAAAAATTTTAATATCGCATTTCCATTTCTGAGTAGAATGTCTGAATCAGGGATCACGACCACTGCGTTGTTCCCGAATCCAACGTGGTGTAGTATAGAACAGGAGATCAGTAATTGGTTCATCATTGCAGCAAGGCGTGAGATAAAGAACGCACCTCGCCTTTTAACTCCTTTTGGAGACTCTCAGGAGTCCATCGTACACAGTAATCATAGGTGCTGGTAAGCAATATGGAAAAACATGTAAGAAGTCGATTGAACCAGATAGTTCAGGATCGTGTTTTGTGGCATTCCTTGAGCGTAACATTGGACTTATAAAGCAATGTAACAATAATGGTGATAACGACTCTTTATCTACCTAGAAGTATTGAGTTGTTATGCGGACGATGCTGCTGCATTATTATTATATGCTGCATTATATTATATAATGCAGTAATCAACCAATGGTTGTCAACGCGCCTGTCAAGCATGACAACTGTCGCAGAATCTCCTCTATGGTGGAGGCCTATATTTAGAAATGAAATTTTATAGGATGTAATGAATGGACGGATCGTTTCAGCATTTCAGCAAACATGATTTTCTGCGAAATACTGAAATTATATTTATTAAATCTATTTTACTAATTTCATTAATTTCCTAAAATAACAATTTGAAAACCGTAGCGTCGCTTACGTAAACAACGAACTCGATAATACCCTTCGAGATGTTACAATAGCCTAAAATTCAGAAACTGTACCAATCGTGACGTCAGTAATCGTATTTGCCCACTTGTTTCTTGGTAAGTATTAATGTGAGTAGAGCGTAAGTCCCCTATAGGAGACTAGAGGGAATAGCACGTCAAATCCCTCTAACTGAGCTAATTCAATTTAATTTGAATGAAACTAGTTTGTATTTACATTTATAATATATCCCTTTAAGCGTCATAAAAATCCCATGCAGTTGCATGCGCCCGTGAAAACCCGAGCGGTCGCATGCGACTGCACCCACCCACAGCTCTTAAAACCATTAAAACTTATTTTTGGAGACTACTTTTTTATGAAGACGTTTAATATTATTAAATCTATACAAAATTCTCTATCTTCTGGTCTAAACAAAAGTTAGGTTTTAATTCATTACAAAAAGATTTTATTGTATTTTGATAACAAAAAAAACATACCAAGCGAATGTCGGCAGCGTGAAAATCACAATTATTTCAATATATATTACTCGAAATTATTTACGTAAAAAGATAAATTATATTCACAAAAAAAACTTTCATTACAATTTTATAATAAAACACTATACTAAAACACTAATAAACACTAAAAAAATCCTAAAAATCAACATAATAACATTCACGCGAAAATGGCGTACGAAATGATCGTAGATTATAAATAAATACGAGTATTCATGGGATAACAATTTTTTAATTGCACTAGAAGATAGAGTATTTCATTAGCCGGATCCACACCTGACGATCCAAAATGGATCGGCGATCCCGCGATCCGCAATCCAAGATCGTGATGCGTGGAGCGTGGATCGTTCTAGGTCGATCCAACAGCAATCTTTTGCGATCCTGACTGGATGCTCCAACGCGCTCCTGCCGATCCATACTGAATCAGTTGAATTTTGTCTGGCTATGGAGTCACACGTGCAATGACGGTGACGAATAGCCGTAGTAGCAGCAAGCTACATTTTACTTGTATATTTACGGCAAAAATTACGAAAACGAAAAGGACAGTATTGGGTTAAAACAATTTTTAAAAACCGGTTGTAATATGGGACTCGACTTCACAAAGAGTTAATTTATGATGGAGCTGAAGCTAATTTTGCACGAATGACTGCAAATCAATTTGACTTATTGTGTTCACTATTGGAGAACAAAATAAGAAAGAATGATACAAACTATTGTGATGCCATAACTGTTAAGGAAATACTACTAATAACATTGAGATTTTTAGCAAGTGGAGATTCTTACGTCAGTCTACAGTATCTTTTCAGAGTGTCCAAACAGTCAGTATCAAAAATTGTTCCTGAGGTTTGTGAAGCAATCATCGACGTTTTGAAGGATTATGTAAAAGTAAGTGAAATTATATATTTAAAAGATTAAACTCTTTATTTCAAACTTAGCTTATACTTAAGAATATATAAAAGTTACATATGTTAATTAAATTGGTGGTGATTGTGGTTACGGAGAAGGCTGCCAAGTTGTCGAAGAAGTAGAAGATGTTGATGGAAGTGGAGTCATTGTTGATTCTGAAGTTGGTTCTGTATGCAATGAAGTTGATGAAAACTGAGTTGTTGTTGATTCTGAAGGTCGTTCTGTATATGATGAAGTTGGAGAGTAATATCCATAATTTTCTGGTCTGTATCTGCCTGTGTCAGCTTCAAAAATAATTTGAGATATGCCATGTTTTACATAAGTTAACGTTATATGATCACATTTTCGTAGTTCGGTAGCTATGTATTGTCCAAAAGTGGTGTATGAATCTGTCTCTGGTTGTTGTGGTTGAGCATATTGATGAAGTAGTTGAAATTCTTCCGAAATGGATTCATCTGTTATCATAATATCTTCGGAACCATGTGAAGATGTTTTTTTTCTTCTTTTATTTTGATTCTTTTTTTGAGTTTGAACATTGTGTTGGGTGTTTTGCACATTAGATTGGGCAGCAGGTTGTTCAGATGGTACAGAAGGTTCAGTTGGTATACTTTGATCATTCATATCTTGCATTTGATTAATAACATTCTCAGTTGTGTGATTGTCTACGTTTTCTAGATCATTTTCATTGATAGCATGTTCTCCGCTACCAGTGGTGCTATTAATTTCCTCCTGTAACAACAACAATAACAAAACATATTAATCATAGTTACACTTTTTCAGATGCCACCAAATGAAGAAGAGTGGCTCGCAGTGTCTCAGGAATTCGACGAAAAATGGAATTTTCTACATGTATTAGGAGCAATGGATGGTAAACATGTCGTTTTGCAAGCGCCTTTAAATAGTGGCAACGACTATGATAACTATAAATTGTTTCCAAGTATAGGTTATATAAATTGTTTCCAATTTTTGCATTAGTAGATGCAAATTGTAGGTTCCTTTATGTGAATGTTAAGAGTAAGGGCAGAATATCAGATGAAGGCGTGTTTAAAAGCACAAAGCTATATGAGAAACTTGAAAAAAAGGAGCTAAACATCCCATCGGCAAAAAAGTTCCTTATAAAATTGAAGTGCCCTATTTTATACTTGGTGATAAAGCTTTCCAATTAAATGATTATATATTAAAACCGTATGAAGGTGATCCAGAAAGGTGTTTGAGTGAACGAATATCCAATTACATATTATCAAGAGCACGTAGAGTTGTAGAAAACGCGTTTGAGTACTAAGCTCAAGTTACAGAGTTTTGCGTAAACCAATGCTGTTGGAGCCAAAAAAGCAACTAAAGTCGTGCTAGCGAGAGTTTACCTGTATAACTATTTACGAAGTAATTCTAATTTAAGATCACCGGTATCTTTTGATACAATACAGGGGAATGGAGAAATAGTTCCTGGAAGCTAGCGAACGGAACAGGCACCAACATCACTACTACCGATAGATGCCATACCACGAAGAGCATCACAAAATGCCAAAGATATTCGGTCCCACTTAGCAAGATACTTTATAACAAACAATGGCTTGTTTGGCAAAATGAGTGCCAATAAACTTATATAAATTGTACTGTGTTTATATGTTTTATAAGTTAACTGCATTAAGAGGAATATAATGTAGTTCAGTTCATTATACTTTAACCAATTAACTGTGTATTTTATTTAAAACTATCCTTTCTCTAAGTTCTAGATTATAATAAGAAATAAATTTTATTACATAAATACAAATATACTTTATTGACACCAAAAGAAAACATTACCTACACAGATGACACAAAATATTACAAACAAATTTAAGCCAATAATTATTATTATATTATTACGTCTACTGCTATAACATCTACCTTTACTTTAAGAATTATAATATTCTAATAATTTAATTATACTTCAATGGTTACCTGTAAGTTTTTTAATCAAAATAAAATTATAGTTTAAGTAAAAAATAACTCACCTGTTGGAATGTATCCCTTGTTGTCCCGGGGTCATTCTTATCCGCCATGAAAGCAAACTCATCGTAAGCAAACCATTTTGATTTGTAAGTATCTTCAGCACCTGAAATAAACAATAAATTAATATAACCGGCAAATATCAATGTCCGTGAAGTCACTCCCCTACCCAAAACTTTTAAACATTTAAGTATATCTTTTTATCACAAACTAAGTTACGTTACTACGTTGTGGAGTTTTAAACGATACATTTTATTATTATTACTAATAAATTAAAATTAAAGCTTCACTAAGAGTGGTAGGTTATGTACTGAACTATAATTATAAAACAAAAGAAACTATAATTTCTTACCTGATCCGGTAATACAACTCTGTTTTTCTCTGAATCGTTATCTTCTGTAGCCACCCGACAAAGACTTCATTTTTTTCTTTAGTTCTGTTGTTGGAATATTGTTCATTTGCCGACTAATTTTCCGCCAGGCATCTTCGCTTACACCTCTATTTGTGTAATTGGTATCATAAGAATCCCATAAACATTTATTCTCCCTATATAGGGAAATTAAACGGATACATTGCGAATTATCCATAACGACTGATCACGCGATTCTCACAACCGTCCAGACCGAACGCGCCAAGCGACTGAGGCCCCTTTGTGCGTGACCAAAAACCTGACAACAAATGGATCGCGCGCGGCACGTCTACACTTCACGCTCCATGGAGCGCGCTCCATGCCGCGCGCAATCGGAGCGCTTTGGATCGTCCGGTGTGGATCCGGCTATTGATTATATAATGCCAAACTTCTTCATAGAACAGTAGTGTCTATATACAAAAGTTTATGGGTTAAAGTGCTGTGGGTGGGTGCGACCTCATGCGACCGCTAGGGATTTGACGGAATATGGCTACGGTCTCATGAGACCGCTAGGGGGTTGAGAGGATATCCTACAAGAAAAAAATTTAAGTCTCTGTAATAAATGCTAATATTATTATAATTGATAATTTTAGAAGACAGTTTTCATATAGACACGAACTATCAAATTAAATTTACTCGTAAATAGCGCTCTAACTCAGAATGCTCAAAAATTTGGCATGAATTTGGCTGAGCTGCTATTTATGCTAGTCTATCAGAAGTCTCTTATGCTTAACATTGATCCTATTCGCCAGTCTAAATATTTTACATCTGATATAATATACGTCCTATCTGGCATTACCAAAGTCACCTCGTACGATCCTCACGATAGGAAAAAAGGCGATAGATTATTTTGCATCACTACTAAACCGCAGCAGTTTGGTGACAAGATCTGAAACGGACTGCAATAAATATTTTTAAAAATTGTGTTAGATGCATGAATCTTTTCACATAATTATGCGAAAAGTTAACATCGTCGTCTTAATTACAACCTTTCACAAGTCCAATGCTGAACAAAGGCCTTGCCAAAGGAATGCCATGAAATACGGTTGTGGGCCACCCGCATCCATCGTCTTCCTGCATAACTGGCGAGGCCGTATTTTGACCTAGTGGGGGCCGCTTTATACCTATATAACCTGTTGTGAAGTATTATTAAAAGTACGAAAACGCCTTGAAACCAAGCTAAATGAAATTTAAGATATAAGTAAAGATATAAGTGTAGGTAGTGGCGGTGTAATATTTTTACATTAGCCATATTCGGTGCCTGATTTAGAGAGCCCCCTCAGCCCTGTCCTGCCTGTACCTGCTCAGCTCACGAATATATTTACAAGTTTTCGCTTACCGATACTAGACTGTTACTCGAGAACCTTTCGTTCCCATCGGCTAATGTCGGCAAAGTTATTTTATAAAATTAAAAGTGTTAATTATTAATTTACAGTAGAAAAAAAGTACAAAAACAGCGTTTACCGATCCGCTTGCCAAGCGTGATAACTAATGGCAAATAACCTCCCTTTATGACAATCTATGGGGAGACCAATTTTCAGTTTATTTATTTTGAAAAATCTTCTACCTAAAATATACTAGATACCTAAAATATGTATTACATGTACTATACAGTAATTTATAAAGATTCGCTTGTGGCAGCAGAATCCTAAACATTAAAGAATATCGTTAGCTGCAACAAATGCCGGAAAAAATCTACAAAAATACAGTAGAAATTATACAATTACTTTGTGTTTTGTGGAAATGAGTATAATTTATACTAAATTAACGGGTAAATTACCAGGTATAAACATAAAAGCTGCAATTATAAGAAGTGGTAATTTAATCACCGAGCGCTCGTCTTTAATTTCAGTGTTTCTTTAAGAACAAAAATAATGGTTAAAAATAAAACTAAATTCCTGAGAAAAGAATTATATTTTGATGTTTTATATTTTGTTGAGGTGGTAATACTTCTTTTTGAGACTATCAGGAGCTCAACGTAAAGTAACCAGAAGTGGTATATAGGAGACAGATTCTCGAGTGGTAGTCTCGTGCCGGTAAGCGATGTGGTATAAGTGAAAGTTATAAAAATAATGAAAATTTTAATATCGCATTTCCATTTCTGAGTTGAACGTCTGACTCAGGGATCACGACCACTGCGTTGTTCCCGAATCCAATGTGGTGTAGTATAGAACAGGTCAGTAATTGGTTCATCATTGCAGCAGGGCGTGAGATAAAGAACGCACCTCGCATTTTAACTCCTTTTAGAGACTCTTAGGAGTACATCGTACAATATGGAAAAACATGTAAGAAGTCGATTGACGCAGATAGCTCAGGATCGTATTTTGTGGCATTCCTTGGGCGTAACAGCGGACTTATACAATGTAACAATAATGATGATAACGACTCTTTATCTACCTAGAAGTATTGAGTTGTTATGCGGACGGTGCTGCTGCATTATTATTATATGCTGCATTATATTATATAATGCAGTAATCAACCAATGGATGTCAACGCGCCTGTCAAGCGTGACAACTGTCGCAGAATCTCCTCTATGTAGGAGGCCTATGTTTAGAAATGAAATTTTATAGGCTGTAATGAATGGACGGATCATTTCAGTATTTCGTCAAAATAGTATTTTCTCCGAAATACTGACATTATATTTATTAAATTTATTTTTAATTTCATTAATTTCCTAAAATAACAATTTGAAAACCGTAGCGTCGCTCACGTAAACAACGAACTTTTTTTTTTTTTTTTTGCCTTTCTCGCGGCCGCCCGCGCTTTTTTTTTTTTTTAAAAAAACCTGGGGGGATTTCAATTTAAAAAATTTCATCATACATTTACTATACTCAAACACTAAAAAAATCCAAAAATCAAGATAATAACATTCACGCGAAAATGGCGTACGAAATGAACGTAGATTATAAATAAGTACAAGTATTCACAGGATAACAATTTTTTTTATTGCACTAGAAGATAGAGTATTTAATTAATTATATAATTCCAAACTTCTTCATAGAAAAGTAGTCTCCATATACAAATGTTTATGGGTTAAATTGCTGTGGGTGGGTGCGACCTCATGCGACCGCTAGGGATTTGACGGTTATGTCCGCGTTCTCATGAGACCGCTAGGGGGTTGAGAGGATATCCTACAAGAAAAATTTTTAAGTCTCTGTAATAAATGCCAATCTTATTATATTTGATAATTTTAGAAGCCAGTTTTCATAGAGACACCAACTATCAAATTAAATTTAAATAGCGCTCTAACTCAGCATGCTCAAAAATTTGGCATGAATTTGGCTTAGCTGCTATTTATGCTAGTCTATTAGAAGTCTCTTATCCTTTACTTTGCTCGTATTCGCCAGTCTAAATATTTTAGATCTGATATAATATACGTCCTATCTGGCATTACCAAAGTCGCCTCGTACGATCCTCATGATAGGAAAACAGGCGATAGATTCTTTTACATCACTAATAAACCGCAGTAGTTTGGTGACAAGATCTGAAACGGAGTGCAATAAATATTTTTAAAAATTGTGTTAGGTGCATGAATCTTTTCACATAATTATGCGGAAAGTTAACATCGTCGTCTTACTTACAACCTTTCACAAGTCTAATGCTGAACAAAGGCCTTGCCAAAGGAATGCCATGATATACGGTTGTGGGCCACCCGCATCCATCGTCTTCCTGCATAACTGGCGAGGCCGTATTTTGACCTAGTGGGGGCCGCTTTATACCTATATAACCTGTTGTGAAGTATTATTAAAAGTACGATAACGCCTTGAAACCAAGCTAAATGTACAGAATTTTAAGATATAAGTAAAGATATAAGTGAAAGATATTAGTGTAGGGGGCGATTAATATTTTTACATTAGCCATATTCGGCGCCTGGTTTAGAGAGCGCCCCTCCCCAGCCCTTTCCTGCCTGTGCCTGCTCAGCTCACGAATATATTTACAAGTTTTTTGCTTACCGATACTAGACTGTTACTCGAGAACGTTTCGTTCCCATCCGCTAATGTCGGCAAAGTTATTTTATAAAATGAAAAGTTTTATTTATTAATTTACAGTAGAGGATGAATAAAGTATCAAATATAACAACGACTTTCGTTACAAAATATTTGAAGTACTTTATTACCGTCAAGTATTTTTATCACAGCATCTTCACTTCAGTGCCCTAGTTAAAACTCTCGTGTCGTGAAGAGTTCAAGAGCACTATTATGAGAGGTAGTTACTTGAATACTTAGCACGGTTGTGCCTAATATGTTTTCTGAATAAGCTCTTCTTTATGTTTTAATTACTTATTTAAATAACCTTTTTTTATAATAGACGAAGTAAATGTTCTTTAACTTCAATTTTTACTCAACTGCTCCAGAAAGAGGGTATGTTATTCGAAAGTATGTAGGTTATCTAATTTCTTTAGCACACAAACAACAACATAACACTCTATAGCATTTTTAACGTAAGATTCTTTTTAATTATGGAAGTCACATAGTTATGTAATATTTATATATTGCATCTGCAAAATCAAAAAGGATGGAGAAGGTTTTTATTCAGTAAACTTTTTAACGCAGCTGGGTTTTTTAATTACTGCTTTAACCATTAAGCTTGTTTGAATTCCCCATACTGTTTTATTCACATCAAAATGTTGGCAATTTGTTATATGCTTGAAAATTATGAGTCTCATAAAATTACGTGTGTAAAAATACAGATAAGTTGAAAAACGAAGTCAAACTTTATGATTTAAATTATTTACAAGAATAATATTTTTGAAACCTCTGTACTAGACGAGAAATGTGAGGTTCACGAATTAATAAAAAATATAAGTGAGTCGAACACTTTCCTTACATAAAAATTTGAATGACATACACATTTTTAAGGGTTATCGTTAAAATCAAGCTTCTAAGTCATCGCAATAAAATATAGAGTAATTTATGCGATATACTTTGATACTTGCAAATAAATCAAATCTTATGGAGTACTTCCCTTTGACTTAGGATCATAAAATTTGACATAAAGTAAGTTTTCAAAGCATAAAGGTGAAGATAAAGAGCAGTAAAGGAAAAAGTTCGAAAATCATTAATTTGTAGTTCTTTCACATTTTTTTTCAATTGGACAATTGACCGTGACGTATATCAATTTATGGGACAATATTTTTTCAAAAGTTGAGTTTGACCTTTAATGCTCTTTATCTTTTTGTCAGAATAATGTTTTAGATACTTTCAAAATAACTTTAAAAAGTCTCAGAAAAATTCGAGATTCGATTCGAATGGACTTCGAATTGAAAGAACTATTTATATACGAGCTTGTACAATAAAAAAGCGGAAAAAGTGCGAGTCTGACTCGCACTTTATCCGCTTTTTTATTTATCTTAGGGCTCAGGCAGAGGCATTATTTTATTAAGCCTAGTATGTAGCACTACTACCCGAGCTCGTTGTCATATTTATAGTTTGCGTAAATACCTTGTTATTTCGTATCGTTTACAGTCCATACTAACTATAAAAGTACTTCTCATTAGGCAAAAAAATAAATTTTGAATTATTGTATATGTTGTTTAGATCTAAATTTACAGAAAACATTATTGTGTAATAAAATTATATAGGTAGTCAGTATCACTAACACACACTTTTGTTTTTCTTCAATCTTTAAACCGCCACATTAAAATTCTGCCTCCGATGGGAACAATTTGATTAATTATGTAGATTTCTTTACACTAATTATATTTCAAAATTTAGTAACTTATTAAATATCATTTAAGAGCCTATCGTCTCAGGGTTAGGGGGTAGGGGGTCGTTTAGAGCCAGGGCGGCATCCGAGGCAGCTGACCTAAGCAAGTGGCGCAAATATTAGTCTCTGAGATATGACTACATATATGTGCTTTTTGTATGGAAACTATCGTTCCATGGAGTTGACGTGCATTAAAGTTCCTAAAGGAACTGTATCCACGACTGGTTGTCGCTGCTGGTGATAAAAGGGCTGATTCTTTTCTCGCAAAAAGGCTAAGTATAGCCATTAAGCTAAGAAACGTAATCAGCGTAATTGTTACAATACCACGGGGAGTAGAACTGTATGATTTTTCAAGTTATTCGTTTTAGTTTTTGTTATTATATTTTTAAATATTGTTTAAATTTAAATATTACTTAAACATCATTTCTATATAATTATAACAAAAACAAGGCAAAGCTGAATGTGGTACACTGTTAATGATTTTGCACAGGAAACAAAATTGTTAAATCTTCGTTTTAAAATACCTAAAAGCAGTATGAAGTAAAATGAAACTGGGACGGTCGAGTTTTCTTTTCATAATGGAATGCGTAACGTTTTACAGTTTTCTAAATGTATACTGCTAAAAAATGCTCTTACTTTCGCTTGGTTTAAGACAAAATGCTATCGATAATGATTAGTTTTTGGAAACATTCATTATGGAACGAATTATATTTTTTATCAAGGAGTTTTATTACCTACTACTGTTATTACAACTGCATGAACAGCAATTTTAAATATGATTTCATAAAAATAATAAGAACTTGGGTTAGGTATAAAATTGTATATATTTATTAATGATTTTTTAGTTATACGCAAATAACACACATTAAAAAATAACGAGTCCGTAAAAATAGTTTGATATTTAAAAGAAAATAATATCATCGCCATTATGTATAAAGCGTTTTACAATTCTACTGTTGAACGTAGGCCTCCTCGAAGTAATTCCACAAGGTTCTAAGCTACACTGCATCCATTGAATTACTGCATGTCTTACCAGGTCGTCACTAAATCTAGTTGGGGGGGGGGGGGGTTCAACCTACACTTCTCTTACTAGTACAAGGCTACTTGAAAACACAGATAAAACATAGATTAGTAAAATTTAAGTGATAAACGAACCTACGGTACACCTGATGGTAAATATCAGTTGCAGCCCATGATCACCAGCAAATAAGTACAAAAAAGAAGGCAGTAGATGCGCTGTCTCCAATGACGAATAAGACAAAATTCTTCCAATCTGTAATTTTACTGGTTCTCTATATATTTTAGACCAAAACACAGGAGTGTACGCATCCAGCCAAATGGATTCCTATTCAGATAAGGAGTTTTTTCATCTAATAAGAATATTAAAAAAGCGATCTAGTTGCGAGCCAAAAGGTCCACATGACTTATTTTTTTTTTATATATATATATTTAAAATTTATAACTTTTGCAGTGGAAATCATTAATAAATATCATATGTTTTAATATATTATAAAATTTTTCATTCG